TTAACGTTAGGGCACAGAGGAAGCAGACCGAGTATGCTTGAATTTCTCCATCTTTCCAGGGGACCAAAGGACGTGAGTTGGTCAAATGGAAAAGCAAACCATGATTCAAAATCAGGCAAAGAGAGGTGCTGTATGTTAGGAACCTGGTCCTCGCTAAACATGAAAGAAGTGGGAAGTTGGTGCGGGTGCCCGTACCAGCTTATGCTATCGTCCCACTCTAGCACCAGAGACTTGAGTTCGTCAAACTGGGCAAACGCAAACTCATCAAGGTCGAATATCTCCCTGATGACCTTCCAAGTGAACTGCATGGTGACATCCTTCCAACTGGTAGAGTATTCAAAAAGATATTTGAGCAGCTTCCAGGAACGGTTCGAGAGACTGTCAGGAGGAAATTCGTAAAGAAATGGGTCGTTGGAAGCTATGGATTGGAATTCGGAAGAGTCGCTGTCATAACCCAGTGTACCCCTCAAATCCAAATCACTGGCAGTGAGGAGGAGAGTCCATGGAACGTCTTTGATAGGTCGATGTAGTGTTCAATAACAGTGCGCGCACTGTTTCGATGCGAGAGATCGATCCACATGGCAGACCACAACACCGGCCTGGATTGAACGATTTCCCTCCATACGGAACAGACCTGTGAGAGCTTGAGCGTAAGAGCGTCCACGCTGTTCTGTGTCACAGTGATCCCAAAGTCGGAAAGACACGCTATATCAAACACCTGTTCCAAGACCTCTACGGGAAGTCTCCGGGCAGGCGAAAGCAACGTATGCATCTCGTCACGATGACGCTTGAAATCCTGGCGCTGCCTCTTCAGCTCGATCAGGACGGTCTCTAGCCTCTGGATTTCCTTGTCGTATTTAGCAACGTCCCGGTCAGCCTCGGCGGCTATAGCGATTACTCTAGAAGCCTCGACATTGTTGGGCACGTAGAGAGACCGTAATTTTCGTTTGGTGGGGTCAGACTCTGGAACGTCGCGCATGGAGAAAGTCGCGCCGCATTTGTCGCAGAGAACGGTATCCGAGGGCATTTTGTCGAGAGCTCGACGGCTACAAAGAGAGGTGGTTGCAAGCAATTGTAGGCCCAGAAAAAACCACTTTGAAATTCTGTATCGAGTGAGGTTGACCGAACTCAAGTCCTTTTTAATCACTGCAAGAACAAAAAGCGAAAGAGGCGAAAGAGAAGTGGAATAGGCGCCCATGGCTGACGACCAGAGCGCTCACTAACTTTATCCACATATCTATATATATTGGAACCTATTTCGTCCCACACCAACTCACCACTGGATAATTGAGGCTCAACTCTCTCAAGATAATGCAATTGCAGAAGCCATTTGCTCATATGACAGTAATCTTTCCGTTGCTCCCATTGAAATCCCAGAAAACCGCATATCGAAGTTCCTCAAGTACACCGGGTGACCATATTTGACACCAGTACTTAAAAGGAGGGAGATAAGATTCCATTTCTGTTTCGCTTTCAATACCATGGACTCGCAAGAGAAAGTCCCACAGCCAGAGGTCGACGTCGAGAAGCGTCTTTCAGAATTTACCGAGCATTCTTCTACCCCTGCAGCTAACTCCAGTGGTGTCACGCACCAGAGCGAACTTGGACAAACGAAACGAGGACATTTTTTCTCACCTTTGGATTTGAAACATGCTCAGGCTGTGAATTTGGACGCGGAGGAAGTGCAGTATACTCGAGAAGAAGATGCAGGTGTTGCTTCCCTTCTTCAACAGATTTACTGACACGGCACATAACATTAGAACAGGGTTAAGAGGAAGATTGACAACAGGGATTCTTCCCTTGATTATTTGCAGGTACTTGTTATTTATTCTACTCGTCGAACATTTCGTATTAATCCCTTCAACCGCTTCAGTTTCATCTGTGCGACTTTCTCTATGGTTTGTCGATCTTCACTCATTAACTATACATACTTGCAGTCAATCAATTGGGTAAGTATGAAAAAGGTGTCGTGTCTTCAGATGCGTGTACTAATTATTTTGTCAATCTGGCAGACCGGACGAACATGTAAGTACTGTCCTTGAAGCATTTCCACTCTCACTGGCACTGATACAAAAGCAGTGGCAATGCTCATATCGCTCCGGGATTCGATGAGAATTTTGTTAGTTAATCGAGTGTTGTTGAATGCAAGTATTCACTGGCGTTTATAGGGCATCACAGATAATAACAAATTTACATTGGCGTTGAGCATCTTCTACGTTGGCTATTGTGCGTAGTATTATTCACTAAATGAGCTTTTACGGTATTTGACAGATAGGTTTAGGCCTCTTAGAAATACCCGCCAATAGTATATCGTAATTAGCCTCTTGATTGTTGCTGGATGCTGATGCATTATTGCTAGTCCTGCAGCGATACATTGGCGCCAACCGATTGTATGTTACACTCGAAGCTTTCATTTAAAAATTCGAGTTTTTAAAGTTTCTTTCAGCTTCTTCCTCTCTCTCACTTTTTGGGGTTTGTCGTCCCTTTCTATCGTATATGCGAAAGGATATGGGGGTTTCCTTGTCATACGGTATGTACATCTACATTTACTGTAACATCTGGCCCCTTATCTTCTTCCAGTGTTCTGTTAGGCATAGGAGAGGCTGGGTATTACGCTGGTATAGTCTATTACCTTTCATTTTGGTACAAGCGGTGAGTTTAGATTATTGTCAGTCGATGTTAGAGTGATTAATCGATATCCATTCTATACAGTGATGAACTTGCTATACGCATCGGGTGAGGGCATTTACTCTTTCTTCAAATCGAGAAACCAACTTTCACGTAGTACTACTATCACTGCAACTTACTCAGGGACTTTTGGCGGGCTCCTTGCTTTCGGCCTTGTGCGAGCGCATACATCTCTTCTAAACGGGTGAGTTTGCCTAGTATAAGCAATACGCCGCGAACTTTTGACACCACCCTAGATGGCAGTTTCTATTCTTAATCGAGGCCATTCCTTCATTAATTATGGCTGTCGTGACCCTGTTCTTTCTTCCCTCCTACCCGTTCTCTGCGGCGTTTCTTACGCCACGCGAGAAAGCTATCGCACAAGCGCGAGTAAACAGGGATCATAAACCCCAATCTCATGGTGGTATGACGGGCTTTCAAGGCCTGAAGGCTATCCTAACCGACCCCAATGCATACATGTTCATGTCTATCTATGCAAGTTTCAATGTCGGAGTGGCGACGATTTCTTACTTCCTACCTACAGTGCGTAACCTTCATTTACAGCTTAATCTGAGTCATATATCCGTTTCTTCCCCAGCTCATCAACGGACTCGGTTTTACCGCAATAAATGCTCAAGGGTTAACTGCCGCACCATACGTTGTCGGTTGGTTGATGGTCATCCTCCAAGCTTGGCATAGTGACAAAACCCGAGAGCGAGGATGGCACATCATTGTATCATGTGTCACAGCGTTCGTGGGCTATCTCATATTGGCTACTTGCGTGCAAAGGAGCGTCGGTGCTGCATATTTTGCGCTGTTCCTGGTCATCGGAGGACTGTACAGTCTCTTTCCGCTCACAATGTAAGTCGTAAGCTCTTCTGGAAGTTGCAATTTGCCAAAGACTGTTGTAGGAGCTGGTCCGCAAATGCATTTTCTCCTACGTCAAAACGAGGAGTAGGAACGGCGTTCATTGTGTCAATTTCGAATGTTGTGTCTATGTCGGTGTTATTGCTTTTTGTACCGAACACGGGTTTAACTGTTTTTCCTTGGACTAGCGCTTCTCCACAAATTTATTTCGATCCAGAAGACAGTTTTGTCAAAGGACATGCCATCTCCGCTGGGTACGTTCAAGTCTATTAATTAGCGTCGACGAGTCTAATATTTATCTATCGCAGCTGTCTCTTCCTGTCCATGCTCATGGCCTTGGCTCTCCATACCCGGCTTACCTGGCTTAACAAACGGAACGCAAAGCGACTGAGTGAAATGTCGGAGGAAGAAAAAGCTTCGTTGCCTGATGTTTCTGAAATGGATGACAAGGATCCGAGATATGTTTTCATGACCTGAATGTAGCTTGCAAGAGGCTCATATAACGTGTGTTGGATTTCGAGTAAAGATTTCCAAGGCGAAACTTATCTATAAATATTGTAGTACACCGTACTCGATCAAAACATACCAGTTACCGGATTACCCGCACATGCACCGCCGCTAGGCTAGCCTGCACGGTCAACGTCCTTCCCAATTTGCGTATCGCGGCTCTGATGGCATTCCGCAGCTCCTGCAACATAGATACTTACGATTAAAGATAAACTCAACCGTGTATTCTTCAAGGTCGAGAGATCCTTTACCGCCGCGAGAGCGGGAGGAATGGAGCCACCAAATACCTCAGGAAGACTAATTGTAGTGGAAGAGAAGGCGAACAGCTTGACGGCGCGCTCGAGCGTGTACCTCGTAGAAGGCTTCTTGAGAACTTGAGTAAGAGTCCATAATGTGTTGGAATCTCCGTCGCTTTCTTCGAGAATGAGACGGAGCAGTTCAGTTGGCAAGGCGTCGAAACCAGAAGGGCCATTTATGACTAGTAGGGAGTGATCCATCCTTAGCAATTTCGCATTTCCAAGTCAATGATCTCGTACCGTAGGTAGGCTGTCGAGTGTTCAAAATTCAGAAAAAAGAGGTACAGCCACTGAAAACTACAAGGATTATAAATCGAAAGGAAGACAATTACAATGTGCCAAATAGTGGCTATTGGCCAGCAGCATGAAGTGGCTGAGATTGACCGTAATAAACGGTCAATCGGTATCACAACAATGAGCATCCAAAGTTTCCAATCTCTCGAGGTCCAAAACGCAGAGGTGAAATCCGAGATCTTGGATCCTGGACAAACTAGACCATATTTGGTGTGAGATCGTCAGCTTTGACCTCTGATTCCGCTCTGCCATAATTTATGGAATAGTTCCTGAAAATGTGAGCGCTGACCTAACCGGTACGGCGCTGTATCAAAAAAAGCAATGCCAAAACAAAATAAAAACAAAGAAAGCCGCGACGATTATCGCTTATAGCAGCAACTTGTTTCGATCAAGTGACCTCGGGGTTAATTATTTTGTATGGGCCCCGCGCGCTACCACTGCGCCATGCTGCTATAGATGTCTAGTTTGCTCCCTGATTTCTACCACATTCTAACAGGAGGGACGCCTGCTATCACCAGAAAAAAAGCATAAAACTACCAACATAAATAGTATAGTACATCGTACATACACCATCCAATTACCGGATTCCCCGCAGAATCACTATTGCTAAGCTAACCTCAATGGTCAACGTCGTTCCCAATCTGCGTATCGCGGCTCTGATAGCATTCTTATGCATCTTTCGCAGAACCTGACTCCAATCTCCTTTCGAATTGTAACCAGTGGGTAACCTGTTTTGCACGTGTAGCTTGAGATACTCCAGACGCGGAAACTTAGTGATGATTGTTCTATAGACGTTCTGAAGGTCCTGATTTGATAGAATAGATAGATACATTCAGCATTGGCACTTGGAATGAAAAACGAAAAACTACACACGCACCGCAGTTTGGGAAGTCTGATAATCGAGCAAGAACTCGAAACGAGTGAGATTAGGACAAGAGTCACTAAAATTCCGGATTTCATTCAGGCTAAGTCCACCATTGCGGACTCCGAAGCGCAAGACCCCCGGTTCGATAATACAAAGTTGGCGAATAGAAGGTGTTTTGGCTAGTGCTCCCCGTATCTGAAGATTCATTCGTCCTACGCGCCTCGTCATCCATACCCAATCTATCGTGAATGATGATCGACAACTCGACGCGTTCAATCGGACGAGTTCCACTGGTACATATATTGATGCAATTCTGCGAAGAGCTTGCAAAGTACCGAAGTTTTGGCAGTGCCTTCCTATCGAGAAAGTCGTTGCTTGTTCCATCGTGATAATGTAGTACTTGAATCTCTGAATGTCGCAGGAAGAATGCCTTCAATGAGAAGGCCATTTCGGGGCAGATCGGTCAAGTAAGTAACTTCCTTCAAGAGGGGGAATGTGAAATCCTGGTCGTCGAGGAGAGCTTGAAAACGCGGACAAGGCGAGATTCTCCGTCCTTCCCGCAGATATGGGTTCGGAAGGCGAAGAGTGAGTCGCTCCAGCTTCGGACTAGAGACGGGCATGTCCTTGAGGAGCTTCGTTAGCGTGGCGTAATCGGCTAATAGCGGAGACAAAAAAAAGGTCAGTTCGCAGCTTCGGCAACATAAGTTTGACTTACGATGTATTTGCATAGAGGTAAAATCGATTTCCAGTGAGTTCAATGCAGGACCGCACAAGGAGTTCTAGAGCAAGGTGAAAAGGTCAGTGACACTACGATAGGTGTTTTGGATTGGTTACTTACGGCTAAAGATAAACTCAACCGTGTATTCTTCAAGGGAAATGGACATCTGAGCGAGAGATTGTTTACTTCCGTGAGAGCAGGAGGAATGGAGCCACCAAACACCTCAGGAAGACTGATCGTAGTGGAAGAGAAGGCGAATGATTTTATTGCGCCCTTCGAACCGTGTATCTCGATGTTCTTCATAAGAGCAATTGCATCAATTTCATCAGTAGACTCTACCGAGAGCTTCTTGACATGAGAAACAGGATGAGCTCCCAATCCCACTTTTGTCGAAGGTAATCGCTGCCGTCGCTTTTCGGATTGAAGCGAGAGCGTAGGTAGGGCTGTGCCGGAAACGTCCTCATACAAGAGTGGGTTGAAGACCTCGTAGAAGCGTTTGGAGATTTGAGTGAGAGCCCATAATGTGCTGGGATCTCCATCGATTTCTTCTAGGATGAGACGGAGCAGTTCGGTTGGCAAGGCGTTGAAACCAGAAGGGTAATCCATGACTAGGGAGTGGTACATCGTTAGCAACTTTGTATCTCCAAGCCAGTGATTTCTTACCGTATGTAGGCTGTCGTTCAAAATTGAGAAAAAAGAAAGGTGCTCGAACCACTGAAAACTGCAAGGATTATATATCAAAAGAAAGACAATTACAATGTGCCAAATAGTGGCTATTGGCCAACATTACAAAGCGGCTGAAGTGGCCTTTCATTGTGGCCGATCAGTATCACAACAATGAGCAATCAAATGACCAAGCTCTCGAGGCCCAAGATAAACCTGAGATCTTGATCCTGGGCAAACTAGACCATATTTGGTGTGGGATCGCCAGCTTTGACCTCTTATTTCACTTTGCCATTATCTATGTAATGGTGTCCAGAAATCTGATGTTGAAAGTGTGAGCGTTCAGATGTGGGGAGCCGGTTGTATCAAAAGTCGAAAAAAAGAAAGAAAAAAAAGAGGGAAAAGCGAAGCACTCCTTCACCTATGTTAGCAGCAACTTGTTTCGATCAAGTGACCTCGGGGTTAAATATTAATTATATGGGCCCCGCGCGCTACCACTGCGCACTTTCTCAGTTTCCGCCATAAACCCTATTCCGGAAAAGGCAATAGTCTAGCAGAACATTCTAATCTATTATGACATGTGCCTGCCAGTTGCCAAATCTAAGCGCTCAGTCGGACTTGTTGCAACTCGAATAAAATATACATTTAATACTATTGTAAACTACGCGTACCTAAACGAATGACTGAAAAACAAAGCGAACGGTATTACAAACCGAATAAAGTGAGAATGCGTAGCGACGCAGGGAAAATTACAATACGAAGTCGCGAGACTGTACATAAGATATCCAGTCCATAGTGAGGAATGCTCCAGCTGCTTTATCTTCCTCCGGCATGGCTCGCCAGATTTCGTAGTGAAGATAGAAGTCGTCCGGGTTCCAAGCGTGCCCAAACTCCATCTCAAAGCGTCGTTGCGGCGAAAGCGATGAGGAGGCATCATCGAAGATGCTATTGAATCCTTCCGATAGCCGAGCAACAGTCAGACCTGCAGGCCATGACAGTACTGAAAGGGCTGGAGTAGAGGATGAGGATGGCGGAGAAGAAGAGAATCGATAGTCTGGAGACACGGGAAATATTGAAGTGGAGGATGATGATGACTGAGAAGAAGATGGCGTTACTCGAGCTCGCTTCTTCGCCGGCATTCCCGTTACATCGCGACGCCATGGCAGATCCCAGTCGGGTTCATCTGCTTCGAGCTCCTCCAGAGTACGATCAATGAGAGCTAGCTCTGGCGGAATCCGAGCCTGAGGGGTTATGCGAACCATGTCCTTGTCAGTGATAACGTTGAGACGTCCCGTGCGTGAGCTACGTGGGCGACGCTCTGGAATGGATGTGTGTTGGGATCGCAGGACTGGTTACCGAAGGATCAAGTCGGAATTTGAACTGCATTACTGTAGGGCGAGATAAGGTAGCGCGAGACAAGAGGGCGAGATAAGGTAACGCGAGACAAGGTAGCGCGAATAAGGTAGTAATAGAGTAGGGATAACAGGCAGGTGACGGCGATGAAGAAATGGCAGGCAAATGCCATGCGAGGATATCACGCGAGCAGATACCACGCGAGCTCATAGATAAGAATCTTCTGGCAGAATATTTCCTTTCCGGGAATAGGGTTTATGGCGGTATCTCAAAAGTGCCACTGCGCCATGCTGCTATGATCTACATAGCTTATTCCGAGATATCTCGCCCAATCTAACAAGAGAGAAGCACTATCAAACTTCACGAGCGTTTTCTTTTGTTCAAACCACGCCTGCTATCGCCAGAAAATGAAATAAAATTATCCTTGAAAAAAATCATAACTAACATCTACGAACTCCCCTCCTCATCGAGACTCTTATCACCCTTTGCCCCACTACTCCCATTGCTCATAGTACTCTTCGGCCTCGGCCCCGCACTTCCCGGGCGATCTTTATTGGTGAGCAGACTCTGGAAAAAGTTCTGCAACACCTCGTGCTGACTTTGACCTCCACCAGTGGGACTGACACCGGGCGACGGAGATGCTGGTGGTCTCCCACCTGAATTCGTGGGTGAGTTATTTGTGGGTGAGAGAATCTTCATCTGTGCACGACGGCCTGGACGGTCAGATCTTTCAGGGCGGTCTGATAATGAGGTAGAGAAAGAGGTGTTTGAAGCGCCCGCGGTGCTTTCCATTTCCATGAAAAGCTTTTCGACGTTTGGGAGATTGAATGAGTTGGTTCCCATGGGACCGACAATACCTGCACCTAAAGCGAAAGCAAAATTTGAGAAAGTTTAAGAGTAGGTTTGTGGGCAAGCTCACCTGCACCGTAGACTCCTTCGGGGTCTGTAGGATTTCTGAAAGCACCTCTGGGATCCCGATCGGCCTTTTTCGTGTTTTCGTCGTAATTTTTGGCGAGGAATAATTGTTCCGGAGTAGGATTGTTGAACGGAGGTAGCGGGGGAGGCTATATACAAGAATGTCAGTTTTTCAACTCATACTCGGGAAGGACCAACTTACTTTTGTCCCTTGGTCTGGCACCAGAGACGAAAACATCCTCCTGGCTCCGTCGTTGGCTTCCTCACCCTCTATATCCTTCTCCCAAGCTTCACCCCATCCTTTGGGATCAAACTCTCTAAGAACGGTGATCTTACCCCAAGAATCCCATCCCGCGGGGATCACGACACGATCTCGGTCTAATGTATTGGGGCGGTGAATGAAGGGAAACGGGTTGCGAGTAGGAGCTTCTCCGCCAGTCGGTGATGGTGCAGGAGGGACGAAAAGCGTATGTAGAGTATACTGACGCATGACGGAGAGTGTTTCGGGAAGAGGAGTAGTATAGAACAGGGCGGCTCCGTCTATATGAATGAGATGAGGTCGAGCCGTAAAAGCAAAAAGTCAAACCCACATTTGAGGCAGACCGTTCTTAGAATCTGCATAATACCGTCGGTTCTCTCCTCCCATTCACCTCCTTTACCTTTGACCATTCCGCCACCTAGACCGGCAGCCATACCTCCGCCCAAGCCTCCTGTAGCACCATCCTGACCATCGTCAATGAGATCTGCTTTGGTGCAAACGACAATGATAGGGACGCCAGGTAGCGTTGTGTGTTAGTGTGCCAGGACCTAACGGTAATACAGTGCTGGAAGACAGAGATGAAGACGGGGCAATGGGATCAGATGAGGGTTCCGTGTAATGTTGTAGATGTGATTGCCCTAAAGATGTTTAGAAATGTTAAAGCCAGAAAAAGGATAAA